TATATTATATATATATACACACGTTCGCTCTCTCTTTATAAATCCTAAAACAACAAACATTCATTTTGTAACATATTAGAAAAAAAAGAACATTCATTTTTAACTTGTGCCAGTCTCTTCACTGACTTGATTTCCTGGCAACAGTCTCTCTCTCTCCTACATGCCACCCGATGACTTCCTATCTCTCACTGTTCTCTCCTTTTTCTTTGGCTATGGCAATTCGACTTGCCTGCCAGTGATTATAACGGCATTTGATGAAGTAATATTACCAATATGGCTTCTCATGAATTGATCTAGTTACCGATCCAAGTATTGGAGCTGTACTAGCATTTCAAATTTACACTTCGAATGAATTGATTTAGTCTCTGATCCAAGTATTGAAGCAGTACTAGGAATTCAAAGTTACACATCATTGTCAACTATTTAGCATGCTAAACTGTGTCTGATATTTGGAATGGATGAAATATATATGGATACATTCATTAAATATAAGTAACTTATTGCAAACAGAGACAATTTGGTTGGGTTGTGGTTTGTTTTATAAGAATGATAATATCCATAAAGATTGACATATTTTTAATAATTAGCTGCTGAAAATTTGATGGATGATTTGGATCTTAGGTGAGACTTTTTTTTTCAGCATTTTTCACATAACCACTCTTTCTTGAAGATGTTAAAAAAAATGTTTGGTTGTGTTGTGCTTGGCAGAAAATATTGAGTGAATGAAAGACCGCTGCTTCTGTTTTCTTTGTTTATAACTTTTTATATCCTTGAAGTTGCTGCTAGGGACGGTTAGTAGTTAGGAACCCAAATTTCGCCTTAAACATTTCATAAACCCTTGGAATGTGGCAATTTATTGCATCAATGAGTATCTGGTCTTTAAAACTATAACTTGGTGTTATTTTTATTTGGCTAGTTCTTCCTGAACCATCCTTTACCATGTTCTTTTCCTTTCTTTGCTTGGAGTAATTAGATCTTCAGAGTCGCCTGGAGGCCATAGGGATTCTAGGGAAATCAGGGACCAACTTTTTTCTTCTTTATCTTCGACTAAATTCATTATTCATCATTTGGAGAACTACTTTCTTCTTGTTGTATCTGGGAATTTTACTTTTTTCCTGAAGAAGCAAACACTATAATAGATAGGCTGCCTCGTTTCGGGGTAGCAAAGGATGGGCAGGAAACAATGATACTAGCACTCTAATCACACAAATAAAACAAACGAATGTTACAAAAGACTTCATACTATAACAATCCTCCTCTTTGGCCTCAAGGTGGTATATGAGCCAGCATTCCAAGCTTTTAAGTCAAAAAGGTAAACCTGACTTTCCTTTTTCTTTGGTGAAGAAGCCTGCAATTTGATATTTTCTGTGGATGCAGGGGGTTAGGATGAAGATGTCTGCAATTTGGTTAAAAAAAAATTTGAGAACTGGGTCACACTTGTGGTATGTTAGATATTCTACTATCAAGTACACTTTTATTGTCACAATATAAGGCCGTGGAAGAGGGAATAGTTATTCCAGTTCCTTCTAGTAATCCCTTGCTCCAAACCATCAATAATAGACATGGGTATGGTGCTTGAATTCGAAAGAGGACATTGATGCTCTGCTTAGACTCAACAGGGGACATGGCAACTGGTTGGTGCTTGCTTTTACGTGTAACTAGATATGGACCAAGAGAGTGCAAAATATAGTTTTCTTTTACATGTAACTTAGATATGGACCAAGAGACGTAGCGCTGCTAAGCATTAGCTGCCAGCCACTCAAGCAGAAACCCAATTCCTAAAGTGCAAAATATAGTTGATTAATCTATCAGAAACAACCATAACAATAAGCATCAGAGTAAGTTATCATATGAAAGATGGAGACACAAAACAATCCTTAAAAATATTTGATGCACCTTATCATTCTCATAGTGACATTATGTTGATGTCTTGTGAGACCTCATAAATTGACTGGCCATACCATCGGGGAAGGGACTTCTAGTCTAATTATCTGAGGTAAATTTTAGTCTAGTGATTCTGAGGTAAATTTACTTCCAAACCACTTTTCTGTAATGAGTCATCTTCAATGACAGATAACTTGTTGTTTTTCCAATACTATGTTTGCTGCAAGCCTGCAATCAACTATAGTGAACCTTGTCAATCATTACCAATTGATTATTGCACTTGACTAGCTATGAATGGCACAAGCTTACAATTAGAGGCCCCTTTTTTTTCAGCATATTCAATCCTAAATGGTTCAGGATCTATCTGTTGAGACATTGGACAATATGATCAGCATAATCCTTGTAATCTTCTTGGAGTCTAAGTTTTCAGGTTAACGACCATAGTGCAATATCATGCAAGTTGGGATATATTGCTGGGGTAGTACTTCATATTCAGATTGTCATTCAAATGAGAACTCATATAAGTTGTCAAAAAGAACTTGGAAAATTGTATGGAAGTCGTATTCTTCCTTTTCTCAGAAACAATAGGGTGGATTTGATTAATTGATTTTTATGAGATCCATGTTAAATTTGGCAAAACTAACAACTTTTGTCAAATGTGGATGGGTTCTTACGGCGACCCACTGGTCAAAATGAATATATTGCCTCATGTTTCATACCATGTGTGGATATTACTTCAGCCTTAAGCTCTGGGCAGAGTACATCTTTTCATTTACTTACTTTAAGTGCATTAGATTGTGGGGACAAACATGTGAAATTGTTATTTTTCATGTGAAAAAGGATAGGATTGTGAAATTCCATGAAAAATTAATGGAATTTTTTCGACTAAAATTCCAATTAATAATGCCTCCTCAGATGTGTCATATATAGAATGAATTGAATTATTAAGAGTGGTTTCCTTGTGTTTTGAAGCCTAATGATTGTGAGCCATACGCATAGCACTTGCATACTGATGATCAACATGCGAGCCTTGAATAATGGGATTCCAAGCACACACATGCATACTGATGATCTACAGTTTCTGTATGGTGGGAGGTTTGTTTACAGTATGATCAGTGGGAAATAGATAATCCTAATCTTCTCCTGGTTAATCTTGAAGTTGTGGATAGATATCTTTGACTCTTTTATTGTTCAAATCAGGTTATCTCTCACATAAGCTCGCAGTTTTTGTTGTGACTTCACTATTTTGCCACCTCCCACTCCTATCATTATTTTTGCAGTTACCGATAGAAAGGATGACATTTACATTCTGAGTGCAGCCAATAAAAATATGTTTTGATGGAGGTCCAGTCCACCTTGAACATTAATCAGCTCTCTTTAAGTTCTACTTGGTCTTTAAGCTTTCTTGTCTCTGCCAACCCTGCTAGCATTTATTTGTGTTACTGGTTGAGCCATTTCCCACCTGTTCATATTTGATCCATGCTCTCCATCATTAGTTGCTTCCCCCTGCTAACCAACTTTCTGGCTTACCTATCCTCCCTTGTGTTCCACCACCTGCTCTTTGCTCTGTTTTCTCAAGCTTTATTTGGATGTGATCTATCTCTCTACCACATAATGTACTGCAGGGGTGAAATTAGGCTACAAACTGTGAGGCAAATCTGGATACTCTGCTCAGTGAATGTTTTTTTTCTTTGGCCAGAGCTCCAGACCGATGTCCCCCGGTTTCTCATGCTTTATTTGGATGTGATCTATCTCTCTCCCACATAATGTACTGCAGGGATGAAATTAGGCTACAAACTGTGAAGCAGATCTGGATACTATGCTCAGTGAATTTTTTTTTGTTCTTTGGCCAGAGCTCCAGATCGCTTTCCCCTTTTGATTTTGCTGCCCACTCCTGTCTATAATAGTTCCCTACTTATCATTTTGACAGCTGGTTTCTCTCTCTCTCTCTCTCTCTCTCTCACACACTCACACACTTACAGAGGCAGCCTTATTAGGCAACACCTAGCCGTTTTGCCTTTGGTGTAAATGTTTTTGCTTGCTAAACTTGCTATCTTGGCTGGTATTTTGTGGGTACTGTGCTGCACTTCTTGGTTATCATATAATTTATGTTTTCTCTTTTGTTCAAGAGAGTTGATTGTAATGATCACTCGGTTGTAATGTTCTTCTGCACTGTGTAGAATTTTTGTACTATGGTGGTATTGAGCATTGAGTCAGATGTTATTTATTTATTCTTTTTTCCAAACCTGTATGAGTTTAGAGTTCTTGTTTACATGCAGGTAGTACTTTCATTGTTCTGAATTTCTTGATATTGAGCACTTGATCAAAGATAGAGTTGACAGCTGAAACAAAGCTAAAAGATGAGTGAATCTGAAAGGGAGCTGGAAGAAAACTTCGAAGGTAATAGAAACTCTTTTTGTAGAATCAAGAGAAAATTATGATAGCATCGAGAGATTGTGGGTTTTTTGCATCAATACCCACACTTTCAAAGCCTTAAAATCTTTTACAAAATATAGAATCTGTGCATTTTAGCCTGAAATCATAATGATGATATGATATACAATGGCTGATCATACTAACCCATAAAAATGCATATTTTACTATGCCATGTTACCCTCTATTGTGTATTCATATCATGTGATTACTACCTTTTGCGCTTCATACGCTGGTCTTGTATCTTAAAATTGTCTCCAAACTGGCCCAGAAACTCTTACTTCCTTTATAATTCTTTCTCCATACATAATCTAGCTCAGTTGTTGCTTAGTTATTTTGTGTTTCATTGGGATACTTGTTAAGCTCACCTTTATATCACCAAGATGAATAGATTATTAACTACCTTTCTCAATGTCACCATTTCAGTATTTCTAAAATTATGACTCTTGCTGAAACCAACTTGCTCAACTGGCAGGCAGGCATGAGAAGAACTCCCAGCACTCCTCTGGCAGAAAGAGCAATGGCAGCTCATCTGGCTCTAGTTCTTCAGATTCAGACTCGGGGACCAAACCTTACAAGGAAATTAATCGCAAATTGGAACAGGAGAAGAAAGCCCTCAACGAGGAGATAAAGAAATTAATGGATAAAATTTCTTCAATGACAGAGGAAGAAGAGAAAATGAAAGAAGATGTACAAATGAAAGAGGTCCGAATTCGTGAACTAGAAGAACAGAATGCGGGTCTTGTCTCAGAGCACAGAAAGGAAAAGCAGAAGATGGAGGGAAGTTTCAGTGAAGATTTGGGCTCCAAAGATAATCAAATCCAGAAACTGGAAGACCAACTTGTGGGCCTTCGTGAATCTCTCTCTAACCACGAGGATGCACAGAAGATCATGGCGAAGAAAGAAGAAAAATGGGTTGAAGATTTAGAGTCCAAAGGGAAACGGGTCATGGATCTAGAAGACCAGCTTGCAAGGGCCCTCTCAAATCATGAACTTGAAAAGTCAAAGATGAGTACGGAGAGAGAAGAGTTGATGAAAGATTATAAATCTAAGGGGAGCAGGATACTGGAACTGGAAGTCAAGGTTGCTGGCCTCCATCAGACAATCTCGAGGCATGAAAGCGAAGAAGTGAAGAGGACAGAAGAAGAAAAGAAAATAAGAGAAGAATTATTCTCGATGGGGAACCAGATCCTAGAATTTAGAGACCGACTTGTTGCCCAGACAGAGACTCTTGAAACGTACAAACAACAAGAACTGAAGATGGTTGAGTACCAGTGGAAACTGAGACAAGATCTGGAGTCAAAGGGGAACCGGATCCTTGAATTGGAAGACAAGCTTGCTGGTTTATATGAAACTCTCTCAAAGCATGAATCTGAAGGACTGAGGATGACTGAGGAGAGACAGATAATGAAAGAAGAGCTAGAGTTAAAAGGATGCCGGATCCTTGAATTAGAGGAGCAGCTTGCAGATCTTAATGAAGCCCTTGCAAAGCATGAAACTGAAGGGCTGAAGATGAGTGAGGAGAGAGAGAGAATGAAAGAAGAACTACAGTTGAAAGGGAGCTGGAGCCTTGAATTAGAAGACAAGCTTGCCAGCCTAAATGAAGCAAATGCAAATCATGAAAGCGAAAAATTGAGGGTTACAAAGGAGAGAGATAAAATAAGAGAAGACCTTGAATTGAATCAGAGCCGGATACTAGAACTAGGAGACAAACTCACAAGTCTAAACGAAACCCTCTCAAATCACAAGAAAGAGCAGCTCGAGATGGCAAGGAAATTTAAAGCAGATTTGGAATCGATGGACATGCAGAATGTGATACTGAGAAATGAAATAGCAACATTGATTATGAAGCATAAGAAGGAAGGAGAAGAGGTTGCAAAGAGGATAAAGATAATGGAGTATGATTTAGTGTTGAAGACAAGGTATATCACAGAAGTAGATAAACAGCTTGAAGTTCTGAATGAGACCCTATCCAAGCACAAGGAATTGGTCGAAACAGAACAGAAACTAAGAATTGAACTCGACTCCAAGGTGACGCGGATCCTAGACCTTGAAGGGCAGTTAGCTAGCCTATCTAAAACCATTGAGATCTCTAAAAGCGAGAATGAGAAACTCAAGACAGAAGTTGCAGAAAAGGAAACAATTGTAACAGATCTGAGCCTCAAACTGGACACTAGACATGGCTCGATCAAAGAATTGGAGACACTTGTGGAACAGAAAGAAGCTAAGATAGAGGAGCTATGTGGGACTATTGATATGTTTAAGTGCAAGAATGAGGAACTCGAGACACAATTGATAGAAAGACAAAAAAATGTTTCCAATTTGATTACTAAACTGGACACTGCACATGGCTCATTAAAAGATTTGGAGAGAAGTGTGGCTAAGAGAGAAGCTGAGACAGAGAGGCTAGGTAAAACCATCGAGATCTCTAAGCTCGAGCAGGAGAAACTCAAGGCAGAATTGGCGCAAAGAGAAAACCATGTATCAGATCTGAGGCTTGAGTTGGATAATAGACATGCCTCAATCAAAGACTTAGAGAGAAGAGTAGAAGAGAGAGAAGCTGAGATAATCAGGCTCAGAAATGAGCTTGGGGTGTGTTCTAGTAAGCTTCAAGAGAAAGAGGAACTACTTGGAACTATAGAGGCGAACACTACAATATTACAGAGTGCCAAGGAGGAGCAGGAAACCAAAGCAATTGAACTTGGAGAGGGGGCTAAGAGGCTACGAGAAGAGAATGTTAGATTACAAGACAGCACCAAGAAGCTCGAAGCAGAGATCTTGGGGTTATCTGATGAACTTCAATTCATGAAAGAGGAGGTTGGGAAGTTAAGAGAGGAGCGTGAGTACTTAAGTCAGAAACTCCAAGGGGTGGAAGAGGACTTGAGTGAAAGTGTTCGAGAGAGAGAGGAAGCAGAAGCTTTGATGGATGGAGAGAGAAAGACTATGGCACAAGAGTGTAAGCTGCTGAATGAGAGGGAGTTGGAATGCGAAGGAAACATTGGGGAATTGGAGAAGGAGGTTGCGAAGTTGAAAATGGAGGTGGGGAAGTTACAGGAGGTGCGCAAGCAATTGGAATCGATTCTTGAAGGCATGGAAGAGCAACTGAGGGAGAGGGATCGAGTGAAGGAGGAAGCTAAAGATGCATGGGATAGAGAGAGAAAGTCTATGGAGCAAGAGAGAGTGCTGTACATCGAGGAGGTTGCAACATATGACGGGATGATTGTGGAATGGGAGAAGAAAGTGGAGCAGGCCAATGATGAGGTTGGGAAGTTACAACAGGAGTGCAAGCAATTGTACCTGAAGCTTCAAGAGAAAGAGGAACTAGTTGGAATGATAGAGGCGAACACTAGAATATTACAGAGTGCCAAGGAGGAGCAGGAAACCAAAGCAATTGAACTTGGAGAGGAGGCTAAGAGGCTACGAGAAGAGAATGTTAGATTACAAGACAGCGCCAAGAAGCTGGAAGCAGAGATCTTGGGGTTATCTGAAGAATTTCAACTCATGAAAGAGGAGGTTGGGAAGTTAAGAGAGGAGCGTGAGCACTTAAGTCAGAAACTCCAAGGGGTGGAAGAGGACTTGAGGGAAAGTGTTCGAGAGAGAGAGAAAGCAGAAGCTTTGATGGATGGAGAGAGAAAAACTATGGCACAAGAGTGTGAGCTGCTGAAGAAGAGGGAGTTGGAATGCGAGGGAAACATTGGGGAATTAGAGGAGGAGGTTGTGGAGTTGAAAATGGAGGTGGGGAAGTTACAGGAGGTGCGCAAGCAATTGGAATCGATGCTTGAAGGCATGGAACAGCAACTGAGGGAGAGGGATCGAGTGAACGAGGAAGCTAAAGATGCATGGGATAGAGACAGAAAGTCTATGGAGCAAGAGAGAGTGCTGTACATCGAGGAGGTTGCAACACATGACGGGATGATTGTGGAATGGGAAAAGAAGGTGGAGCAGGCCAATGATGAGGTTGGGAAGTTTCAACTGGAGTGCAAGCAATTACACCAGAAGCTTCAAGAGAAAGAGGAACTACTTGGAATGATAGAGGTGAACACTAGAATATTACAGAGTGCCAAGAAAGAGCAGGAAACCAAAGCAATTGAACTTGGAGAGGAGGCTAAGAGGCTACGAGAAGAGAATGTTAGATTACAAGACAGCACCAAGAAGCTCGAAGCAGAGATCTTGGGGTTATCTGAAGAACTTCAACTTATGAAAGAGGAGGTTGGGAAGTTGAGAGAGGAGCGCGAGCACTCAAGTCAGAAACTCCAAGCGTTGGAAGAGGACTTGAGGGAAAGTGTGAGAGAGAGAGAGAAAGCAAAAGCTTTAATGGATGGAGAGAGAAAGACTATGACACAAGAGTGTGAGCTGCTGAAGAAGAGGGTGTTGGAATGCGAGGGAAACATTGGGGAATTGGAGAAGGAGGTTGCGGAGTTGAAAATGGAGGTGGGGAAGTTACAGGAGGTGCACCAGCAATTGGAATCGATGCTTGAAGGCATGGAAGAGCAACTAAGGGAGAGGGATCGAGTGAACGAGGAAGCTAAAGATGCATGGGGTAGAGAGAGAAAGTCTATGGAGGAAGAGAGAGTGCTGTACATCGAGGAGGTTGCAACACACGATGGGATGATTGCGGACTTAGAGAAGATTGTGGAGCAGGCCAATGATGATGTTGGGAAGTTACAACAGGAGCGCAAGCAATTGCACCAGAAGATTCAATGCCTGGAAGAAGAGATGAGGGGTAAGGATAGAGAGAGAGAGAAAGCAAACACTGCAATTGCTAGAGAGATAAAGGCGAGAGAGGCTATGGAGAGAGAGCTCAAGGAGTTGGAGGAGAAGGTTGAGGGATTGAAAGAGGTAGGGTTGGCGAAGGATGACCAGAAACGAGAAGCGATAAGGCAGCTCTGTCTCGCGATTGAACACCACCGGGACAACTATAACCATATGAGGGACCTGTTATTGGCCCGAGTCACTAGGGTGTCCTGGGGGAGGGACCCGTTATTGGCACGAATCACTAGGGTGACCTCGGGGCCCGCCTCCTCTTGACTCGTCTTTGGTGTATTCCTCTCTACTTCTCAGTCCCTATCATTGCACAATTCAATTTTTTCATACTGAATAAGCGGTGTGCAGGTATTCTTTCTAGCTAGATTTATGATTAGCAAGGTACTGAGTTATCGCTGGTTTTGGAAAAAAACCTCCTAGTTTTATTTATGAAAAAAGTTTATATGACGGTCAGTCCTAAACAATCAAATTAAGGCACCTCAAAATTTCTCTAGAAAGGTTCATTCAATGTTAAAAAAATCCTTAAATCGATCATCCCAACTTCAAGATGCATGGACATGATAAAAAATAGATTTCAAGTGTAGGAAATAGTGCCATTTGAACGGTCAATTTTCGAGTGTTCATAGATCTGTTAGATTTGTACTATTTTTGAAGTTATAAAAATCTAACATTTTCGAAGTTATAAATTTTATAACGAGAGATGAAAGTAAGTTTTTAAGCCATCATATAGATTTCTAGTATTACATTATTTGAAGGTGCAATTTTACTTTGATTGTTTAAGGCCTTAACCTCATAAAAACCACAGATTTTAGGGTTTTTTGAACTTTTGTGATCAATAATAATTGATCTATTGCTATTTTTCTCCAAAATCAATCATCTAACGCCCTATTCTTTTATCCAAAATTAGTTTATTGGATAGATTTGAGATTTTGACAAGGGTTTCTCATAAAAAAAAAATGTTTCTTAAACCCTAAACAATAAATTCGCCATTCTTTCAATTTTTCTATCGACTTTTAACCAGAAAACTCGTAACTTGTTCCAAATCAATCATGTGTAATCCCTTTGTCAAAACCCCACATCAATTTGTTGGATGAAAAGCAAAAACAAGAAATCGAGATTCCAACTTTTCAGGGTCTTTGAACCCTAAATAAAAAGAAAATCTTCGATTTTTCTCATTCTTTCATCAAATTCATACAATTTTATCCCACGATGCTTCTATCATATTGATCTATAAAACCAATAGCAAATTTTTGGAATCAAACCGAAAAATCAGGAAAACTGAATTTTGGTCAATTTTTTGCAATTTTTTTCAAAATTTGTATTCGGTTCTTAAATTTTTTGTTTTTTTCGTTAATTCTTTTTACAATTTTTTTCAAAATTTGTTATCCACATCTCATAAGGTCAAAATGATCAATTGGATGGCTCTCCAAAACACTCTTTGAGAGTATTCTCTATGTTAACATATATGTCAATCTTTATTCATAGATCAATTCATTTTTATGTTTAATTTTTTTTTAATATTTCAAATTTATTTATTTGATGAGCCGAATGAGGCAAAGGTCCGAGTCGGCGGATGACCAGGTCGACTAGGAACTAGGGCTGTTAATGGTCCGTGGGGTTGAAAATGGCCTGGAAAAAGTCCAAAAATGTGCTCAATGGGTCTAGTTAGCTTGGCTAGCCCGAAAAGACTGTGATCCGGCCCAAATAAAAGCATGGTCTGGCCCATTTAGATTTTTTTTTATTTTTTTATTTTTTTAAATCTTCGTTCTTCAAATTTTCTTTGTTTGTAGTAAACCAAAAAAATAAAATAAAATAGGGACTGCATACAATGAGACCATGTACTTTTTATATAAGGTGGTTACAATTATGTACAACCATCCGATGTGAAAATTAAAAGCTTGGGTGTGTCACAAAGTTCGAGAAAATTTCATTTAGAATTTGAGCTTGGTCAATAGAATAAATAACTTCACATCTGATGGTCAAAATTAATCGTGACCATCTTGTATTAAAGATAAATGATCTCATTGTATATTTTTCCAATAAAATAAATAAATGTTAAAATATTTAAAAAAAATTTAAAATCCATTTTCCCTCTCTAGAAACTCAATATGTCATTTTCTCTATAAAAACACATTCTCTCTAGAAACCCAATCTCTTTTTTTAAAAATTCGTTCTCTTTCTTTTTAAAAACCTATCTCTCTCTTTCTAAAAATCCACCTCTTTAAAAACCCAATTTCTCTTTATTTCTTAATAATCCCAATCTCTTTTTCTACCTCTAAAAATTCAATCTCTCTCTAGAAACCCAATCTCTATTGCGTTCTCTAAAAGCCCATTCTCTTTCTCTAAAAACTGAAACTCTCTTTATCTCACTAAAATCCATTCTCTATAGAAATCAATATCTCTTACTCTCTCTAAGAACCCATTTTCTCTCTCTAAAAACTCCATCTCTTTTTATCTCTCTAAAAACCTATTATATCTCTTTAGAAACCCAACATCTCTCTCTATTTAAAAACCAATTCTCTCTCTTGTCTCTCTAAAACCCATTTTCTCTCTCTAAAAATCCAATAGTTCTAAAAAATCATTCTCTCTATAGAAACCCAATCTCTCTTTAAAACCCAATTTATTTCTATATCTAAAACTCTATTCTCTCTCTAGAAACTCAATCTTTCTCTCTCGAAAAACTGATGCTCTTTCTCTAGAAGCCCAATATTTCATTCTCTTTAAAAACCCAAGCTCTATGTCTTTCTAAATGCCCATTCTCTCTAAAAACACAATCTCTTTCTTTATCTAAAAACTGAATCTCTTTGTCTAAACTCATTCTCTCTAGAAACTCATTTTCTCTCTAAAAAATATTTTAGCATATGCTTTTTTGGTTTATTACCAAGAAAAGTTTGAAAAGTGGTATAAAAATAAAAATAATAATAAAAGAGGCTTCTGAATGGGCTGGGCCAGCCCAATAGAGTCTTAACAGCCTGGCCTGGCCTTATTGTTACATTTCCGGGCCAGTCCTAGGCAGTTTTGGGCCTTACCAGACCTCAGACCAGACCGGGCACGGCCCGTTGGCAGCCCTACTAGGAACTGGTGTTCGTCCACTCAATTCGGCTTTTAAACACTAGTTCTTGCCATGCTTGTACACAGGCACGCACTCATATGTGCGCCTACCAGCAGTGCACGTCTCTCTCTCTCACACATTGCAACATAGGAGCACAATGAAGAAATTCGGACCACCCTCCCCCTACTCTCTCCTTTCTAAAGAGCAAGAGTGAATGGGAGAGAGTAACAAAATCAATTCCCAGAGAAGGTCGGTTGCTGGAATGCTGAGAGTAATCAAAAATTTTAAATTGAAATTTCAGATTTGAATTTCAATTTTTGTACACTTTGTAATATAATAGAATAAGCATTGTACATTTTTTATTTTTGTTAGATAGATCTCTACAATCAAGACATTACAACCTCTTGTATCTTCTATAAATACCTTACGATTTGAGTAAAATATAATTATTAAAAAATAGTTTTATAAAAATTTGTTCTAAAATTTAACATGGTATTAAAATGAACCGTTACCTTCTCAAAAGACTAATTATGTCACACTCTCACCTTGATGTAAAAGCTTATTGAGGTTAGTCTTCCTATTTTTTTTGGCAACCATTATCTCCCTCATACATTGAAAGCTTGCATCCCTTCCCATCTCTCATGCAAATATCTAACAGATTTTAGAAAATTTACAGCTCCCCATTTACGTTTGCATCCCTTTCCATCTCCCTCTTTACATATGCCGCTCTTTCTCTGTAATTGATTTTAGCAGGGTTTTTGCCGGAGTTTTTGTTTCCTCTCATTGTTGCCGTAAAACAAATTATTGGTGATTTTTCTGGCCGGTTTTGGTTTTTCTGCGGTTGCTGCATTTCATTTTAAGCTGAGATTCTTCTCTCTCTATCTACTATTTGAAAATTGGTGGGTAAAATGGGGGTAAAAAATTGTACAATTTCGAAAAAAGTTAAAGGCTCAAACTCTTCTTGTTTTAGGGAATGCAGGAACGATATCTTAAGACAATATTTGCCCCCCTTTGATATTTTTTTTGCTGTGCATAAGAAGGGCAATTTGTCATCGGGATATAGAAAAACAGAGAGGTCTTTTGATGATCTTAAGCTTTATGCACCCGAGCTTAAAACCCACACAGAAAGCACCAAAGTCTTGATAGTTTCGAGAGAGAAAGAGACAAAATCAAGTAGAGAGAGAGAGAGGTCAACCCACTGCTTTGTCTCCTTGGAATTGGAGAGAATGGTGTGTTGTTGAGAGGCCAAAAAATTGTTCAAAGTATTGAGCTCTAATGGCTAAGAGGACCCTTATTATAGAGCACCAAGAGGCTGTGCATTTTGTGTTGTGATAGTTACCCCTAATAGGTACAAGTTACATGCACTTGCTCATTTAGTGTATTGGTGGTTACATGTACCGCCAACAACTACATGTTACATGTACTTGATGGCTGTTGTTACGAGCCTCCATCTCATCAATGGCTAGATGACCGTTGGATGTCCCACTTATCAACAACTAGATGATTGTCGTTCGGACGAGGGACGTCGCCTCATGCGCCGAATGAGTGTGTGAAGTGTAAAGTGCGTCATTAAGTGCCCTTGCATCCATGCACACGTAAACACATGTGCACGTATGCGTGCACATCACATACTTTGCGTGCTCCGAACAAACATCTTTTCTCTCATTTGTACTAAAGTAGATTGAATGGGAATGTGTGCTCTTAAATACAGCTCAATAAACTCTCTCTTCTTCAATGTGGGACTCAAACCCACATCTTTCTCTCTCTACAAAACAGTTTAGGAAAGAACTATTAAACCATATTGTTGTTTTGAAATACACTTAAGCATTGTTTCAAACCAAAAAATCTAACATCTACTTGTCTTGGTGTCACATGATATCACACACCCTACAAATTAAATAGACTCCACGCTACTGCACTTCCTCTTTCTTCAAGGTTTTGTGAGCCATGAATGATATCAATAAAAATACCACCGTAGATTCTTCGAATGAAAATCAATCCCCCTTTTTTTTTACATTATGCCGATAGTCTAGGGACTTTCTTGTTTCGCATCCTCTCACAAGGGCAGGAGAGAGTTATTCTACCTGGGCTCATTCCATGCGCATGGGCCCAAGTGCTAAAACAAGCTGCCCTTTATTGTTGGAATTCTATCTAAACCAGAGCTTTCTTCTCCATCTTTTTCCTTATAGGAGAGATGTGATGATATGATTTTGTCTTGGCTTTTTAATGCCTTGTCAAAAGAGTGTTGTCTTTGCGTTTAATGCGCATTAAGTGTGGACTGATCTGTGAGATCATTTTTCATCTAGCAATGCCCCACAACTTTATAAATTCAAGAAGTTTTTAGCCACCTTCAAATAAGACTAACTCTTAGTTTCCTCTTACTTCACACAATTTAAAAAAAAAATGGGATGAATTAGCCTCTCTCACTTCTTTTACCCCATGTTCTTGTGGGGCACTTAGAAATCTCAACAGTTATATCCAACAAGAACAACTTCTTCAATTTTTAATGGGCTCATTGAGTCCTATAGTGTGATGCGTAGTAGCATTTTACTCATCAATCTACTGCCAAATGTTGCCAAAGCCTACTCTCTTGCCCTTCAAGAAGAACGACACTGTGAGATCAACTTATATATCCCTGCACAAGAAGTTACAGCCTTTGTTATGGTTCAATCTCAGGCAAATCATAATACTGCCCAAAAGGAACTCCAAGACTGGTACACGTCCCTTGTTACATTGTGATTATGGTCACACGAAGGACCGATGTTTCAAATTCGTGAGCTATCTAAAAAGGCAAAACAAGCCATGTGCCTATAATATTGAATCCATTGCAGTTCCTTCAACCAGACAACTTACATCTACAATAGCCCCTCAATTTACATTCGAACAACATTGTCAACTTTTATAAATATTATAGGCAGGTAGCCGTAGCCACATGGCCAATCTCGCAGGTAATCTTTGTTGCTCTACCTTTTTTTTATTCAATGATACATGGATCTTAGACAGTGGTGGCACTGACCACATTGTTTATTCTCAATCTTTTCTTTCATCAATTGAGCCTTTATCACCCACTAATCTTGTGAAATTGCCAAATGGTACTTTTGCACATGTTCTTTGTATTAGCATTGTTACTCTTTCAAAACAAATAACTTTGCACAATGTTTTATGTATACCTTCCTTCTCTTACAATTTACTTTCTGTTCAAAAGCTGACCTCTGATTTGCAATGCTCAATAATCTTTTTCTCTGACCATTATATTTTTCAAGACCAGTTATCGAGGACGACGATTGGAGCGGGTAGAGAACACAATGGCTTTTTTCATTCATCCAAAGCAGTCTTTGCATCCCTAGTTCACAGTACGACCCCCATGGACCTATGGCATTGGCGCCTAGGTCATCTTTCTCATGCTCACTTACATTCTCTTATTAAAAAACACTCACACATTTCACCTCTAATAATTGTTATTATTATGTATACCCTAGGGAAAAATAATCACAACTTTTTTTTCCTAGTAGTTTGATTTCTACTACTGCTCCTTTTCAACTTATTCATTGCGACATCTAGGGTGATTATGCAACCCCATCTCTTACAAGAGCACATTATTTTTTAACTTTGGTTGATGATTTTAATTGTAGCACTTGGATTTTTGTAATGCGATACAAATTTGAAACGAATCAATATTTGAAATTTTTTTTGTGCCTTGTTAAAACTCAATTCCATTGCTTGATTCTGTCTATTCGAATGGACAATGGAATTGAATTTTTCTCCAAAGATATGTAGAATTTTTTTGAAATAAATGGTGTGTCCCATCAACACTCTCGTACTGCAAAACCTCAACAAAATGACATTGTTGAACGTAAACATTGTCATCTCCTTGAGGTTGTACGGGCCTTATGCTTTTAGGCTAATTTATCTCTTTTTTTTTTTTTGGGAAGATTGCATTCAGATAGTAGCATATCTTATCAGTCGCTTACCTACCCTTATTTTAAATAGCAAAAGCCCACATGAGGCTATTTTTAATTCTCCTCCATCATATAAATAATTAAGGGTACTTGGTTGCCTTTGTTATGCTTACAACATAAATTACCAACACAATTTTGATACATGGTCACGCCGAAGTATATTCATTGGTTACCCTCATGGAAAAAAAACATATCGTTTATATGACCTTGACAATCATAAAGTTTTTACGAACAGATGTTGTTTTTCATGAGCATTGCTTCCCATTTTTTGCGGCTCTTCATCATCCCCAAACCCATCACATAATGTTCTCCCACATCCATTGCCTAACACTCCTACCAACATATCATTACCATACTTGATTAATTCATCCCACATTGCTGAGTAGTCAACTTCATCTCCAACTTTTGTCACGCTTCCATCACCATATTCATCACCATCTACACCTCCCAATGCCCCCCTACGTTTAAGTCGGTCTTGCCAACCTCCAAAATATTTAGAAGATTACCATTGTTCCATCGTTGTTGTCACGACCCCGCCCCCTACCATCCTACCATACTTGCCAGAGGGTAACAAGGTGCGGGACCACGACCAAATGTAGCGAATGCCACTCAGGTGGGAGTGCGCTCAATGCTTGAAAGGCAGGAATCAAAGCAAACCATGAAAGAAAAACAAAACTCCAACCACACACAATTACCAAAGAGCTGGAAAAATTAATTCCAACCCATAAATAAAAGCTCCAAAGTATTACAAATATGTCTAAGGCACCAAAGGCCCAACAACTATACATAGCTTCAATACAAAAACAACTATATGGCCAAACTGCCATCTAATCCATACAATCAAAAGAAGCGTCAACAAGAAGTACGAGACTCCAACTGCCAACCGCGATCACTAAATTGTCTGTCTTCAACCTGCGAGCTATCACTCTACATAGATGAAGGTTAAAAGGGTAAGCTATAAAGCCCAGTAAGTAGATCAAGGTGCCATGTATTCCTGCCTACACACAGTAGCTTATAATTATACTCAAAATTCATACAAGTTTTATAAACATGGAGTCATGTATCACAATTATTGTAAGGACCCGCACTTTTCCAGCGTGGTTAGCACACGGCAAAGGGAGGCGCGTGGCGAAGGCAGGAGCACATCAGAGAGAGTCACGCGGCAATAGACACAGAGAGAGCCGCGCGACGATAGGCACAGGGGAGTCGCGCTGAGTGAGGCGTGCGACGAAGAGGAGTAAGGCGATAGATGAGAGCTTGCGACGATAGTGCGCAC